GGAGGACTGCTCTGAGTTCAAGGTTAGTCTGAACTACAGCCAGACCCTCTAGCAAAAGACCAAAAAGGTTATGATAAATATTTGTGAAAATATCATTTTGGTGAGGTTGGTGGTCCATGCCTATAATCCTAGCACTCAGGAGGCTGGGACAAGATGATTATCCCGAGTCCCGAGCTAGACAGGAACACATAGCAAGACCTTGTTTCAAAAAATCAGAGTGAAGGGATTAGACGTATAGTACATGCCTGTAATCTCAGCACTCAGCAGGCTGAGGCAGAAGAATTGCAAATTCAAGGCCAACCTGAGCAATTTAGCAAAAGCCTGTCTCAAAATAAAGAAGGAATGTGGGTGCAGTCCAGTTCAAAGTCCTGGGGTCAATGCCCAACACAATAAATAAATAAATAAATAAATAAATAAATAAAAATTTGCAGGGGGATTATCTGTAGGCAAAAATGATAAATGACTGCGGTCCAGGTTTTACAACTTTCAAACTCAGTTTAATCAGTACTATTTTATTTCTTGTCTAATGTCTTTACTCTAATGAAAAATTAAACAAATATGGGCGATTTACAGACACTAAACCTTTCTTTTGAGAACTACTCTAACAGTGATACAGAGCTTGCCTTGTACACATATCCTTAGCGCTGCAGAAACAAACAAATCCCCAAACAACATTAAATTAAAAAGAACAAAGTTAGAAATGTTCTTGTAACTTATTTGAATGATGCTAAATAACGTCACCCCTCAGATAACATTCATATAGCCTGGAAACCTAACAGCTGGAAAACACCATTTTGCCAATGATACAATTGGCAAAATTTTGAACATCTTAGAGTTAACAGTTTCTGCCATCCAAATTTAAACATATAGTTTAGAAATCTGGCCAAAAACCAACCAAGCCAGTTTTTAGCAGCAAACTAAATTTATGTCTTACCTGACTTCCGTTTTCTTTCTCTTGACCTTGATCGTGATCTTGAATAATGATGTTTTGAGGTTTTAGGAGAAACAGAGATATCTGACTGCTCTTTTTTCTTTTCTCTATCTGGCGATGTCTTTTCTGGGGCTAGTCCATCTCGTTCTGTATCACTAGCCTAAAAGTTTAAAGAAAATTATTAAAAATTCTTAATTACATTTAAAATGTTTCCAATTTCTACCAGGTGTGACAGTGCATGCCCGTAATTCCAGTACTTGGGAGGCTGGGGCGGAAAGATCAAGAGCTCCAGGCCAACATGGGCTATACAATGAGTTGAAGGTCAGCCTGTACCACACAGTAAGACCCTGTTTCAAGAAAGATAAAATGTTTGCAATTTCTTAAATGGACGGATGAGTAAAGACAATGACATTTGAGCTTTATGAAAAACCCGCATCTAAGTTCCAAAGTATCGTTCTGCTGTGCTGTGGATTGAACTTAGAGCCTTCTGCATCTAGGTAACCAATCTACCAGTGAGCTGTATACCTGTGCCACTAATAATTATCTGTATAAATTTTTAAATGACAAAGGCAAAATGATTGTCTCCCAAGTATTTCCAATACTTGGCCATGTAGAAAAAATACAATTCCTTTTAGATTTGCAAACTCACTGGGCTGACTTATGTTAGCACTTCTGTTGGCCTATGCTATTACTAAAAAGGCACTTAAAACAAGCTGTTGCAGTGCATGATAGCACATGGGTGTAATCCCAGCACTGGGGAGGCTGAGGCAGGAAAAGTGGGAGCCCAGCCTGGGCTATATCTAGTGAGTTCCAGGCTAGCCTAAACTACATAATAAGCCTCACCTCAAAAAGAAAAAAAGAAAAAAACAAAAAACAAAAACCCCAAACTAAACCAAAAAACCCCACACTGTTAAAAGACTGTAGTATGGTCTGCCTCTCTTCATTCATGGACTACAGCAAATTAGGTTGATTCTGCTTTAAAACATCTTAGAAAGTTACCAGAATATAAACTGTATTTTTCTGCAGTGCTGGGATTGAATCAGGCCATCATGCATATGCTGGGCAAGCACTTTCCCACTAAACAATGTCTTCAGCCCTTACAACATAAGATTAAAAAAATTAAGCCAGAGCTGACCATGATGGTGTACAGCTGTAATACCCAGCACAGCTGGGGAGGCTGAGGTAGGAGGCTCATAGCCAGTAGTTCCAGGTCAGTAGGGCTACATAGTGAGACCCTGTCTCAAAAAACAAACAAACCCAGTAAGATTAAAAAGTTAAATGATTTCCAGTTACTAGGTGCCCATTAAAACTATTTCTGTGATGTTGGGTATGGTTGAGCACATCTATAATCTATAATCCCAGAATTTGAGAGGCTGAGGCTAGAGGATCTTGTTGAGTTTGAGGGCAGCCTGGGAAAGCCAGCCTGAATTGAGTAGGGACACCCTATCTCAAAAAAAAAAAAAAAAAAAAAAAAGGTCTGTTAAAAGGTTTTTCATCCCTCTAAAGAGTTCAACCCTTTCATTTTACCAACGAGATCCAGCAACACTAGCTAACTGGCCTAAACTGATACTGCATCTTCATCTCTGTTGTGTCTACTATAAATAAATGATGCTTATCATACAAATTAAGGATACTGAGCCACAATAAACATTGGACATTTTTTTTCTTCTCAGATCCTTAAAACCAATTTCAGAGCCGGGCGTGGTGGCACATGCCTGCAATCCCAACACTCAGGAGGCTGAGGCAGGAGAATCATTGCTAGTTCAAGGCCAGCCTGGGCTGCAAAGTGAGCTCAAGGCCAGCCTTGGCCTGCACTGTACAGCGAAACCATGTAAGACCTATTTCAGATTAGAATATTACAGTAAGTGTTTATAGTTTATGCTTCGTAAAATAAAATCACAAACTTCTGGTACATCTCCTTCGCTTTTTCAGTGAAGGAAGACTAGAATTTAAAACATTTTCATGGAAATGACAGCACATTTGGCCCAGGCAGTAAAAGTTTCCAGTGAGTGGTTTAACCACATGCTCAACAACACAGAAGCCTGGCAATAGAGAAGCCACCTTGTGACTGACTTATAAACAGCCATTTCCAACTGTAGAACACACAACAGAACAAAAGCTACCCAATCACTAAAACTCTCCATCATGAATGCAATCATTATGTACTGCAAACATTTACTGCTAAGAAACTGTAACGCCCTCAAAACTAAAAAACAACAATCCACAAAAAACATTTGATAGGTGGCGCAGCCCATGCAAACCTTATTTCCCTGAGAATACTTTATAATAGCATAATGAACATTTAAAAAACACTGAATATTAAAATCACTTTGAAAATTTCTAAGCTTTATTTCACCTTAGTAGAAATCTCTAAATAATAGTGACCAAAAAACTGCACTCAAACGATTAACTGACTTCATCCGAAAGCCACCTTCGTTTGGTACAATGTACAGCTCCCAAATCCTAGTAACACTCCCAACAGAGTATACAAATGTTTCCAGATTAAAAGTTAAGAATTAAATGTAACACTAGGCCACTGCTCCCAGATGTCACTGAAGGAGGTACTACAGAAACAAATGTTTAGTTGACTTCATTTTTAAAATTTTATTTGTTTATTTCTGGTACTGGGAAGCAATGTCAGGACGCTGCACTTGCCAGGCAGGGACTTGGTGCCACTGAGCGCTGTCACCTGCCCTGACTTCGTTTTTTTAAAATACCGGACCCAAGAAAATCAATGCTATCCTTTAATACTCAAAGTATACTACAACTAAAAGGCCCCAAACACTAAGCAATTTAGTTTCACATATGCCAAGCAATCTATCAACTCTCTGAAATCCTATCAAAAAATTACTCAAAAGCCAAATCCAATTAGATATGCGGTGGAGGTGGGGACGAGGGACAGAAGACTCATCAATTCCAATATCCCAATTATCAGGAGTGATAAACTTTACGTTTAACAGTCTTACATATTTTCAGAAATGAGATGAAAGTTTCAAGCCGGTAAAAAGGGATATTAAAATGACTATTTTTAGCAGGACAACTTAAACAGGTAATTACACACTATGATCCATCAGAAATGGGCATCTTATGCCCATGGTTACTGTTCAGAACGGTAATTCACAGGGCTCTAGCCCAGAACAGGTAATTTACGAACTGTTGTTACTTGAATCAAGGAAGGAGACCTTAAATTTTAAATACAACTTTTAACTATGATGCTTTTCAAAGACTTCAAATTGATTGCAACGCGGGCTACGGAGGAAACAGACTATTCATCGTAACGGGTGGTTCTAACGCCCAAGCCCAGTGCGAGACCGTCGCAGCTCCCTACTGAGGGATAAATGAAGGTTTTCGCGAGCACTAACCGGATTTAAGTACTCCATCCCTGAATGGAGGTATTTTAAAAAGCTACAAAACCGAGGCTCTCTTTTCACACACTATCCTTTGCAGACTTGGCCTTTTTTGACATAATACTTTTTCGAGAAGACTCCTGGTCCCCTGTCTTCTCTAAGGCAAATTCTCAAGCCCTAAAAAAACCACCCCGGTGAGCTAAGAGACACCGTTGCGGGCACCGAAAGAAACACAGGGCTGGAGAAGAAGTGAAGAAAGTTCTGGAAAAAAATGCACTCCCTGCGGCTCCCCAACCCCCATCGACGCCGCCTTACTTCCCCCTCCCTACGGCGGGCAGCCATGATGGCGGGCGCTGAAAAAGGCCGCGGCGCCATTTTGTCCACACAGAGGCGCGGACAACAGCCTTGGGAGCCCTTCACCCAGGCTTTCAAACCAGCAGGAAAACTCCTGGCTTTAAACTCAACACACAGCACCTACCGCCATATTTCAGAGTCCTGGCCGCTAAGGCGGCGCCTCCACTCAACGCTTTCAACCGTACCAGCCGCCCCGAACCTTCGTTCCAGACTAAATCGCTCGCGCGAGAGACCCGGATGGCACAAAAGGGATGAGGCCCGGCGCGTCGCGCAGCTTGCTGGGAAAAAAAGGGGTGGTGACGAGTCTTTATAGCAACGTAGTTCGAGGCCGTGATTGGTTAGTCTTTCGAAGGCGGGGCGTAGGGCGCGAAGAGGGCGGGACCCAAAAGATACACCCTAGAGTGCAGTTGCTAGCTGGGAAGAAAAGTAGATTAAGGTGGGGCGACTTCCTATTTCGATTTCAAAGCAATCTTGGCCTCCTCCGGTCGCCGTAGTAGGCGATGGCCGTGGTATTCTCCCGCCAATTCAAACCCTGAGAAGGAGCAAAAGGAGGTTGGGGGCGGACGTGTGAGTCAGGAAGAGGGACGAAACACTTGTGTGTTCCTTTTTAGTTTCTTCGCTTGCAGGTGAGGAGGGGCAGTTGCGCTGCTTTAGGGAGCTGGGAGTGGGGCAGTACGACTTGAGCCTATTTAGGGTGTTTTCCCGTGTAGGCGTTGGCGGGAGAGTGGTTGGAGTCGGTTCTTGCCGGCAGCGGTGTCCGTGTCGGAGCGTTTATGTGTGGAAGCTGGTTGACAGTCCTTTATGTCGCTTGGCCTGTGTTCCCTGAACCGTTCTCCGTCCCGCAGGGTGTTCGCCAAACGTCTGTGAAACTCACTCGTCTGCTTAGTAAACCACCCCCCATACTAAGGGCAGATTTTCGTCTTTTTCCTCTCCTGATGCTGGGATCGAACCCAGGGCCTCGAGCATGCCAGGGAAGTGCTCTGCCACCGAGCTACACTCTCAGCCCTTTATTTATATTTTTGACATAAAGATTTGCAAAGGTACAATATAGTACGTCTGTAATCCTAGCACTCAAATTTTTTTTTTCAAAATTGTCCAGCTGGCCTCCAACTAACAATCTTTTTTTTCTCTCTCTCTTTCTTTGTCTTCTTTTTGTTTTCTTTTTTTTTGAGACAATGACTCATTATGAAGCCCAGGCTTGTTTCAAACTCAGGGCGATCCTCCTGCCTCAGCCTGCGGAGTGCTGGGATTACAGGCATGCACAGCATCCCCGGTTTGGCCTCCACTTCGCTATCCTCTTTACTCAGCCGCCTGAAGACATGGGATTACAGCTATTCACCACTGCACCCAACAAAATCCTTTCTTGTAGTCGAGGATTCTCTTTGCTCCTCCTACTCGTCCCACACCCTGTTCCTCTCTGGCTGTGTGCGCCTCTCCGCCTTTGTACTCAGTTCCCTTTGCTGCATGGCTGTCCCGTGTGAGCTTGGGATCATTGCTTTCCTGTTATTCAGGTCTTAGATCAAATGACACCTTTCCCTTCCCAAACAGGTCTTGAAACCACCCTTTATCCATTTACCCAAACATTGTTTTTTTCAGAACACTGAGCTCTGTTTATAATAATTCGTGTATTTATTTATTTTGTGTTGTGAGGCCATTTAGGGAGGTTGGGGTCAATGCTTTTTTTTTTTTTACAAAATAAAAAATAAATTGTTCACATTGAATAAGGCATCCCGAATTGCAGGGCACACAAGAACCAGCAATACATGTTAACTATTTTTCTTGCTCTTCTAACAGGAATATAAACTTCTTAATGGCAGAGACATTATATCCTTCACAACTGTATTAACTGCTCCTAGAGCATGCCTGACATATAATAGGCACTAAAAGAACATAAAAAGGGCTGGAGCTGTGGTTTGGTGTGAAGGCTCTGGGATCAGTTCCCAGTACAAAAAAAGCATTGACCCCAACCTATTCCTCCTACCCTAATCTTGTCCCAATTCCTACCCAAATACCAGCTACAATGATTCCTGTTTCCTAACATTCTTATATTCTTAGGTTTTTGTTTCACTTTTTTTTTGAAATAGGATCTTGCTGTGTAGCCCAAGCTGGCCTGGAACTTGGGGTGATCGTCCTGCCTCAGCCTCCTGAGTGCTGGGATTACAAGTGTGCACCACCACACCTGGCTTTTTCCCCCCTTACACTCTTAGTAACAACTTTTCTGTATTTAAAAAACTCTGGTGACTTTAAATTCCCAGCTCAAATGTTACCTGTTTCCACAAATTAGTGCACCTGTTTGTCATAAACTAAGCATTGTTCTCTGAACATTTAAAACTGAACCCTTTCAGGTCAGCCCAATTATATCTTTTTTTTAATAAATTTTAGAATTAAAGAAAACAAAGATTATTTGTCCAAGGACAGCTCATTAGTTATTGTGAAAGAGTATGGAGTTAAAAATTAACCCATGCCAGGCGTGGTGGTGCATGCCTGTAATCCTAGCACTGGGAGGCTGAGGCAGGAGGATCACTGAATTCGAGGTCAGCCTGAACTGCATAGTGAGACCCTGTCTCAAAAAAGACCAAAAAAGGGCCGGGGGTATAGCTCAGTGGCATAAGCATCTGCCTGGCAAACGCAAGGTCCTGAGTTCGATCCCCAGTACCAAAAAAAGGACCAAAAAAATAAAAAAAAGATTTTAAAACGTGCTTTTGATAGCACTTACTAAGAAAATTCTGATTATTTGGTTATCGTTCCCTAGCAGTCTTTATCTAATAGTTTTTTTTTTTTTATTTTAGTACTGTTCTCATTCAGATCACAGATAATATGAATTATATAAGAGATGGTTGGTTGCATGACCCCTCAAGGTTTTTTTTTTTTTTTTGAGACAGGGTCTCCCTATGCAGTTCAGGCTGGCCTTCAGCTCACTTTATAGTCCAAGGCTTGTCTGGAACTTGCAAGAATCCTCCTGTCTCAGCCTCCTGAGTGCTGGGATTACAGGTGTGTCCCACCACGCCTGGCTATCTTCTTAGATTTTTTTTTTTTTTTTTTTGTCTTTTTGAGACAGGGTCTCGCTGTGCAGTTCAGGCTGACCTTGAGCTCACTTTGTAGCCCAGGCTGGTCTCGAACTCGCAACGATCCTCCTGCCTCAGCCTCCTGAGTGCTGGGATTACAGGCGTGCGCCACCACGCCCGGCTATCTTCTTAGATTTTAACTGTAATTTTCAGTCCAGTTAGAAATCTAATTGAGATATTTTTTCTCTTTTCTTTACCTTTAAAAACAATTGTATAACAATACTGAGAAGCTTGTCATGGTGGCACACGCCTATAACCCCAGCACTTGGGAGGCTGAGGCAGGAGGACTGCCATAAACCAGAGGAGGCTCGATAGTGAGCTCAAAGCCAGCCTGAGCTACATAACGAGGCCCTGCCTCAAAAAACAAAACAACAACAAAACCCCAAAACCAAAACCAAACTGAAAATGTTAACAGACTTTCCAAAAAAAGTATCTGGAATCTTCCATCCTGAGGTATCCTAGACGGTCTCCATTCAGGGCCTGTGCTCTTTACTGCTATACTGATTAAAAGTTTGTTTCAGGTGAAAACTGAATGATTTCAAGCTGTTGGGCACACAAAGTACAGAAGTTCTGGGATACACTGGTGATACTGGAATTGTTGGTTTGTGTGTAAACCAATCTGATATTCTCTAGTAATCATAATCTATTTCTGCTTTTTTTGGACCCAGGATATCTGATGACCACAGAAATAACATGAACTCAAAAGAAGTTTTCATAGGCTATTAGTTTTTTGGCTTTTTTTCCCTCTAAGTAAGCCTTTTCATTTATTAAAGATCTGATTTCTGCCAGGCGTGGTGGCACACACCAATAATCCCAGCACTCGGGAGGCTGAAGCAGGAGGATCCTTGTGAGTTTGAGACCAGCCTGGGCTACAAAATGAGCTCAAGTTCAGCCTGAACTGCATAGTGAGACCCTTTTTAATAGACACTATCGCTGCTACATTTTTTATTTCAGATTTTCCTCAAAGTACTTTGTCTCATAAAATATAATGTTGGTGACTGAGATTTCGTGTAGAGAAAATACAGCTGATCATTTGCCACAGTGTTATAGTCTATATATTTTCCTTAGTATGTGAAAAAGACCAAAAAAAAAAAACCAACAGATTTCCTTGCAAGACAATTTGGTCTGTAATTTTACGCTTTGTCACAGGAAAAACAGTGCCTCCTGAGTCAGAAAGACAATTACCTACAACATGTGGAATGATATTGAGCTGCTAACAAGCGATGATACAGGAAGTGGATACCTAAGTGTTGATTCAAGAAAAGAAAATGGAGCTGCTTTGTATCAAGTAGATTTGCTTGCAAAGATCTCCTCTGAAAAGGTAATTTTTTTGGTGTGGAGGATGTAGCTCAGTGGTAGAGGGCTTGCCTAGCATGTGTGAGGGCTGTGTGTTCAATCCTCCCTCCTTCCCTCAAAAAAATAGGTAATGCTTTTACCCGCTTGTGATGGACACACCTGTGACGCCTGCTGTTTGGGAGGCTGAGGCAGGAGGATCACAAGTTTGAGGCCAGCCCAGGCAGCTTGCAGGGCTCTATCAAAGTTTTTAAAAAATAAAAAAGAACTGGGGATGTAGCTTAGTGGTAGAGTGCCTCTGGGTTTGATCTGAGTACTGCCAAAAAAGAAAAAGTAATGATTTTGATATTCTGGGAATGATCCCAGATCAGTGCCCATTGATATAAATCTGCCTCCAAATCCTGGGTGTTGTTTTGGTGTTTCTGCTTGCCGTTGCTCTGTAGCTTACTGTGAATCATAAGATTTCTTTCTTTCTTTTTTTTTTTCTGTCTTTTTGAGGAGGGTCTTGCTATGCAGTTCAGGCTGGGCTTGAGTTCACTTTGTAGCCCAGGCTGGTCTCAAATTCCTGGCGATCCTCTTGCCTCAGCCTCCCAAGTGCTGGGATTACAGGCATGTGCCACAATGTCTGGCCAAGATTTTTTTTTTGGTTTTGGTTTTTCTCCAGTACTGGGAATCAAACTCATAACCTTGCACTTGCCAGGCAGGCGCTGTGCCCCTGAGCTAAATCCCCAGGCCCCAGGCCAAGATTTCTGATATTATTTTATT